TAATAGCATACGTGTGTAAGATGGAGACAACAAATGCATGGGGAGCATCCTCTTAATGACTTTATTATTATTTATTATTTATTTTGGATTGATGGATTAAGTTCAAAGATTAATTTTTCTTGAGATTGCTATGAATAATTTTTTATGGGTTGCTAGGCCCCTGCCCTTCCCTAGTTGCATTTCTGGCAATATTCAACTTCAACTTTTAAGTATCAATTTTCAACGAAAATATTAATAAATTCTAATATTATACAATAGTTATCGCCGTTATCAAATACTGCAATAGCTTACAAATATAACAAAACAAAAACATTTCCAAAAAAATCATCTATACTTAATTGAATACCTATATTAGGTAGGCACTTACATTAGTACCAACTGCTTAAATAACATTTAACTGATAATTAATATTAAGTGTATAATATATTGTACAATATAATGCCATTATACTGGCACCGAAATCATTATTCAAAGGCGGCAATTGACATCCTTTTTTTAATAGGTGGGTGGAAACACACTTTAGTCACTATATTATAGTATACAGTATACACAATACACTATAATATTATACAATGTTTAAACCACGATAAAAGATATTAATTTATCATTTATCTTATTGATCGAAGTTTAAACATATTATCATTGATATTAATTTGACTTTATTTATATTCACTTACATCTGAGGCAACGTAGGTACTACACTTTACTATACAGCATGACAAAATAGATATTGATTTAGATATATTGGTAAATTATAGGTATGATCGCCTATAATCGTTGGTGAGCATATCTCCTCCATTCCTGGCATATATCGTAGTCCTATTAAGACCTTAACTTTTAAGTTTTTATTGGTCGATTAGTTTGTCAAATATAAATTATATGGATTTACTCGTTACACATATACTACACGGATTTTGAATTATGTTTAAACTGTGTATAAGTAGACAGTGGAAACAATGTACGAAAGTCAATTGAACAAAAACCTCGAAAAAACGTATTTTGACGTATAGAGTCTACACGACTGTATAGTGTATACTATAGTCTATAGCAGCAGTGGCTAATTTGCAGACTGTGTCTTATTTGACAAAAACCAAAATGTATTTATTATTATTATTATTATTTTTTTTTTTTTGGTATACATTATCTTAAATATCAGCGGATTCGTTCTAAAGCTAGACTTAGAGACAAACAACTAGGACGTAATATAATTTTTTAAATTAGTGAAATTATCAAAACTAATTGTTGAAATACGCCTTTATATTGTATGTCTTGAAGCTGGTACATTTTCAACCATTTTTATAAGTTTTTGATTTTAAGGTTTTAAAAAATAAATTACATCTAAAATATTTATTTTTTTATACTCACCTGATGACCAATATTTTAGGCGATTATAAAACTTGTTTCTACACTGTCATCTGCCTCGTTAGTAAATATTGACATAACATTATTTTGTTTAGAAAAATTTAATTTCATCGAACATAATTTATTTTGCCTCAAATCAGAACCGATTGGAAATTCTCGACTAAATTTACTGTGTTTGGTTTCGTAATGCTGTTTTTAATTATTAACCTTAAATTGTGGTAATATAAATTGGCATATAAGACAAGATGGTTTGTTGTTTTACTGTAAAAAGTACAGCTGTTCCCATTCTAATTTGATACCCCTTTTTTTCTTCATATTTATGTTGTACCGCTCGTTTAGGAATTGGCATCGTAGTATTGTACAATCGTAAAATGTTACAAATATTTTATTGTTATAAAAATTAAGGTGTTTACAACAGCACTTTTCAACACAGGCTACTACTTTGCTAAACATAGCAATTGATCTAATGAAGCGATAAGAATTGTATAAACAAATTTGAATTTGTCATCAAGTATACTTTAGGTCAAATTTTCCAAATTCCTGATATTATCCCCAAATTCTTAAAAACTTTTTATTAAAAAAATAGTAATTAAGAAAAATATAATATACAAGATTCTTCATAAACATTTTTAACTTTAATAAAAAAAAGTTTATCGGAAAGTCACATAGGTTTGATCGAAGTTCAAATTTTTACAACATTAGATATTCATCCGCAACATATAATGATATAATTATATGACGTATAATAATACGTCTTTTGTACGGCTCTTTAATTTTTATTTTTGCATTCATTAAAGAAGTAATATGAAAAAAGGTAGGCAAGTGGGTGTCGCTCTGCTGTACAGTAGGTTACAAGTGGGTCACTGTATAATTGATGGTATTAAATTTGAATTCAATGATATAATATCATTGTATAAGAAAAACGATTCTGAGCGGTGACGGTATGTCAGTCTATGTATAAGACATATTATATACATATTTATGGCATTAAACAAAAAATTGACCTATAATAGGTACCTATAATAAATTCCAAATTAATCATATCACAATATCCATTAGATACTTATAACGCGTTATTCATCAACAAAAACCGTGATACTATCATAGATATATAATAGTACTTTAGAAGTTTCAAGTACCCACGAATAATATTATTCAATCACAACAAAATAACTAAAATAGTTATTCTAGGTTTTTTAATATGTAATTTCGTCCAAATTTGAATTTAAAATGTCTGTAAAAAATAAGTGTGTTCATATATTTTTTAGATTTTTTGGTTATAGTATGAACTATTTATGAGAACCTTTGTGTTGAATTTTTAATTGTTAGCTATAAAAACTGAACATTTTATAATTTATTAATTACAATGATTGATAATTTTCGTGATTTTGATAAATGTTGTCAAAATTTGATCTTTAAATGCTTATAAAAAAAAACTGTGCCTATATATTTTTAATATTTTTCAACTGCTATTGTAACAATATATCAGGAGCCTTGTATTAAATTTTTACACTTTTTGGCCCAACAGATAAAACTTTATTGATATTTATAGAAAAAAAAACTAAAAAAAATTGAAAGCTGTAAATGTCCATAAACAGCTCAAAAAGAGTCAAAATATTTTCAAAATTGTATGGTGTATAGAAAATGCTAATTTAAACATTCAGTGATATTTTCATGTATCTACAGTTGTTCGTTTTTGAATTGCAACAAAATAAAGAAATCGCTACATGAGTAATCGAGTGAATATCCAATGTTGTAAAAATTTGAATTTCAAACGCTCATAACAATTTAATTAGACTGTCCTGTAGATATTTTTTATTGATAAAGGTAGATAATCTTATAAGGAATCTTGTGTTTCATTTTCAAATCTTAGATTTAAAAAGAAAAATTTTTACGAACTCTTAACTCAAAATAATTTGCTAATTTTCGTGATTTTTCCATATTTTGTCAATTTTTGAACTTTAAATGCTTATAAAAAAAAATTGTGACTAAGGATTTTTAATATTTTTCATCTGCCTTTGAAACAATATATTAGGAGCTTTCTATTAAATTTTCAAGCTTTTGCAACCAACAAATAAAATTTTATTGATATTTTTAGAAAAAAAACTAAAAAAAAATGGAAAATGAAAATGTCCCTAAACAGTTCAAAATAAATCAAAATATTTTGAAAATGTTATCGTGTATAGAAAATGCAAATATAAACAACCAGTGAAAATTCCATGTATATACGTTCATTTGTTTTAGAGTTACACCAATAACCAAAATCGATTTTTTGGAAAACCAATTTTGCGTAAAAATTCCCGTTTTTCCTTAATTTTTATGTTGTTTTTCCCGGCGCTTGTGAAAACTACTGAGAAATTTATACTTTTGACCCCCCAAAGTACCAACTAGATTCACTTTCCTATCAGAAAAGCTACTGATGAAGAAAATCCAAGCACTTTTACTGTCCTAAAACGTGATGACAGACACAAAAAAAAATAGTTCCAAGTCAATAAAGAAAATTGGCAGTTTACTTTTAGTAGTTTTGTTTAAGACGTTGGATACATTACGTACTGAGAAAGGTCCGATTTAGTTTATTGCTATGCCTATTTCCGCTAATGGAGTTGATGTTTGGATGTTTCAAATCAATATTCAGAAAGGATTTTCATCTTGAGTTTGATATGTGTGATATTCGGCCTTACTCTCTTTTAGAAAATGAATGGTTGCTCTGCAGAGTCAGAGTTGTTGGTTTGAATTTTTAAGTTGTTGACATTTGATTTTATAAAAAAATTATATTTACACCGATTCATTCTATTAAACGTGAACGAAATGCAGAAAAATCCAATATTCCACTCATAAAGATGGGTGGAGGAGGCTTGATTTTTTGTTCGGTTTCGAAATAGTTACGAAATAAATATACGTTTCATGCTTTCACAAAGCTAGTTCTAAAATTTTATTTTGCATATAAATGCATATTTTGTTGAGACCATTTTGTTTTTAGGGCACATTTTATACTTTTTGAGACATATTTACTTAAATCAATTTTTTCCACACCGTCATTTTTATTTCAAACAATACAGTCAAAATGTTTGGATAAAAATTCAAAAAATGTTTGTCGTATTATTGACTATCCGTGGGCACACGTTTTTTTTATAGAAGGGCTTGAGGATCGCTGCAGATAATCCAATAATATAATTTACTGTAATTAATTGTATTAATAGTCAATAGATAGATAATCGTTTACAATCTAACGTCGTATACAGTACGACATCGCCACCACTGCAGAGAGCCTTGCGGGCTTTTATTCCATTATGATTTTTAAAAAAATTTAAGAAAAAATTTTAAATGCATATTATAGGATTTTTAAGTGCATAAGTGCTTGCATATTTAGTACTTTTTTTAGAGCATAAGTGCTTGCATATTTAATGCTTTTTTAGAGCAACAAGTCCTCTGTCCTATTATAATAAACAAATAAAATAATTAATAATATGCAAAATAATAATAACCAATATTTTTACAATAATGAATTCAACCTACATAATTACTAATAATGTAATCACATAAGATGCTTTTATTGTGTGTTGATATGTAATTAAATTTAAAGTTCTCAGTTAGTAAGTAATAACCCAATTATGGAACCTTTTTTTTTATATTTTTAGATTTTGCAAGAATTGAGTCCTAAAGAATCAAGTTTGCAACATTTTAAATCAGGTATAATTTGTTTAACTTGTTTTAAATACTAAAAAGGTTGTTTAAGTTCTTAATGAATAAAAAGATGTTTGGTATTGAGTTGAAGGAAATGCAAGGGTTGAAGGCAGGCTGCAGTGTCGGATATCAAAAAATAAAACGAATATACAAAACAAGTCTATTAGCTAGCTCTTATATGTATAGTAAATTGTATGTATAGTTGCTTCTATTGGGATTGAAGATTTAATTTAATTAAAAAATAGATTCCCGCTCTGTTGTATAGTAGGAATCAAGTTTTTCTCTTCATTGCAAGTAGTCACTGTAGTCTGCAAGGATATAGTGTTAAATTAGAATTAAATGATTCATTATTGCGATATTTCATACGAAAAACAATTCTGAGCTGAAATGGTCGTCAGCGGTCAGCCTATATATTCCAAGTATATTTTATTATATATTTATGTTGCTATTATGGTAATTTATTTTAATATAGTCTTTAATTTATATGATTATATATGATTAATATAATTAATTTGGGAAAAAAACATTGCATTTATTACATTATTGATGATTATAATAATATGTGTTATTTTTATTAACTTTTGAAGTTTATGCCTACTTACCCCGAATTGTGTGAATAAATTCATGGTAAAAACATATTGTATTGAAATCGGTATCATATAGTTGTTAAAACCCTTATACAATTAATAGAGAAATTGAAATGAAAGTCAAAACCAGAAAAATTGAATAACGGGTAGTAGGTATACGAAATCACACAAATTTGTTTTTATCCCAAGCGTTGTGAAGATGGTCTATCATTAGTCATTACTATGCTTTCAAAACCAACCAAATGTGCTCTAAAAAAACTTAAATATGCATAAATATATGCACTAAAATGTTATCATATGCATGAAAAAAAAAATATGCATAGAAAAATTAAATTTTTTGAACATTTAATTAAAACAATAGATTTAAAATTATGGAACCCTACTTTAAGTACTTTCCTTCATTTTTTTTCACTTTTACCATGTATAATAGGTAGTTTTCATCTATATCGTTGTACCATGAGTCAGGACCATCAGTTTCTAAAGTTCCGATGACGACGTTGGCGACATACGCCCTTCAACATCCGTAGTTTCGTCGACAGACAACCACATTTTTTTCCCTTCGATTTTATTCATTGTATCAATATAGCAAATAGCAATCGTGACATCGTTTAAGTAATTCTTGTGAATCGTCGATTCATTTGGTATTATTTTAGTAGTATATTTGTCCAAAAATGATTTGAAATGTTTATTATTGAGATTTTTAGCGGAATATTTTCCAAAACCAGTGCTTTGTATAAATCTGCAGAAAATGAATCTTTATTCAGTGTTGTAATATTAGTGAATAAACTTTGAAGATTTTGTTGTTTATTCTGACATAAATTCACAGATATTAAATATTTTTCAGTTTTAATATGTTGTGTAATCTCTGGAAACTCTTACTTCACATAATTTGCAAAGTATAATGTGACAATAGGTTGAAAAAATATTCTCCCGGAATTCACGCAGATAATTACGAAGACGACTTGGTATAGAATAAATATGCAAATGCATAATCTACAAATCCACACTCTAATTATTACATAAAATGCCCCTTAATTAAATTAATTGAACTTTGTGTCTTACAAAGAATCAAAATATAATGAAAAATAACTAAAAATCACTAATGTTGATATTACTTTTTGTTGCAAAAATAATATATTGCACACATTATTTGGGATCCCGGACTGGTCGTATGAGTATTAGAATAGGAACCAAGGGTTATAGGTATTATGTTTAAAATTAAGTTTATGGCTGAGGCTTATCAGTTGTCGCTTATGAAATAAAAAATATTACTCGTTAAAATATATATTTAATTATTACTATACGAGTATTATATTGGCCACATTGGGCCATTGTAGGTAGGTGATAAATTAATTGATTATATATTCACATTTATGAATTTTAAATTGTAGATATTAAAATATTTGACTTATCTTCATTTTTTATTTGATTGATAAAGTTCTTAAATTTTTTTTTTCAGTACCTTTGCCTAGTAACTCTATGGGAAAAGTAGGATTTTTGGGCATTGCTCCTTGTGAGAGCGAGAACTTCGTTTTCTATCGTCCACGGAGAAGCACCATGTCAAGATGGTTTTTTACATTTAATATCGTATTTTAATTTCCTTCAATATGGCGTAGCTACTAAGACACCAAGTAGCTAGCCAAGTCTTACCCTATTTCGCCTCTTATCTTTATCTCTGTTTCTCTATTTTTCTCTCCTAGTTTTACGCCCGTTTATCTGTCTCGGCACTAACTTAACCCAATATTGTGTTGTGATTTTTATTTGTTTATTTCTATTATTTATTTCCTTAAAAATATGTTCCTAACTAATTCTAAAATCCATGTTGCTCCGGCCCTTTTGATTTCGGCTTATGGTTCATCAACCCAAATCGATGCCCAAAGTGACAGGTGCCTTGATCGTCAGTCCTGAATTGCCTCTTTTGGCGAATTATCTAATTAACACATAATCAAAAATGACACGCAAAAAATATTTATTTCTAAGTCAAAAATTAAATGCATATATTATAAGGATGGACAAGTTTCTCGATTTTAATTTATAGAAATAGTTTAATTTAAATGTTTACCCTATACGTATATGTAATTACTTTTCATTTATATTAATTATAAATATGACGAAACAACATTTACTCTTGTGTAAAATATAGGTATGTATAATATGTACATTATTGTAATGGACATATTTTTCTATTTGAATTTATCGCCCCACTACTTTCGTAAACTTAACTTCGTTATGTTAGGTAACTTGTGTATTTCATAAAAAACTATTTTTTTTCATACCGGATTGACTAGTAATGTAACCGGAAAAAGTCGAGGGACACAATTCCATATTTGGGAAATAACTCGTTTGTAGTATCCTTCTCGTTGGAGCACCACTGCAATACATAGCATACAATGTACAGTGTACCTATACTTAAATGCATAGACCTATTAACTAATGGACTGCTACTTCCTCACCCCCAACCAAGAGAAACACTCAGACAACATCTGATAAGCAAAAAGGGGTATTGTGGAAGAATAAATTACATATTATTGTTTATTCCATGAATTTTTTATATTGCAGTTATAAAATATTTAAACAATATAATTTAAAAAGTTTTCAACTTTTGTTATCAGCGGACTGCTATCACCAAAAATTAACTAATCAGTGTACATAAATCTTGGAACAATAAATAATTATTCATTGTTTCTTCCAAAATACCCCTTTTTGCTTATCAGATGTTGTCTGAGTAAATTTTGTCTAACGCGCAGTCTATTAGTTAATAGGTCTATGCTTAAATGTATGATTTTGATTATTAGGTTTAAATCTTGAAGTACTCAGTCAGTCATTAAGAACATATTTCAAACCATTTGACACGGATAAACAAATATTTTTGTTTAAAAACGTAAGTTACATATTTAGTGATATTTACCACCTATACAAACCAGAAAACATTTAATCAATTATTTTAAAAGTTATAACAAGAATATTTAGTGTGTATTTTTATAATTTATATTTATCACGATAAAATCGTAACTAGAATTTCTTGAAGGGAGCTCATTTTGCCCCCTAACCTCACTACGGCCATACTTCGTTTGGTGTGCTGAGCCGCTGAGCGTTACATAACATTCTTTATAGTTGTGCCAACGCTAAACATCTCTAAAATCATTATTTGTGGATAATTTATCCATATTATATTATAGATTAAAAAATAAACTTAATAAAAAATTGTATATGATCTAAGTACGTAGCCGTAGCGTACCTCCCTATTATGTAAATATTTTATTATATTTAAAGTTATCTCTTTGTGTTCTGAAAAATAAAATTTGAACAAATATAATTCTTAAAAATGTTCAATCCTATATCCTACAAATAACACAAAAGTGCTTGTTTTAAATCAAGAATATTTACTTCAAATTCAACATAATAAATCTATATTTTTAAACTCATATATATGTTTTCACATCTTCCGAAGGCCTGTGACACTTTTTGGGTTTTTTTTCTGTCGACCGTCGCCTTTTGGAGGTTAAAAAATTTTTGGATTTCTAATTTTAAGGATCTAGTACAAGATTCTTTTTATAATCATTTTTAATTTTTTGCTTGTTCAAAAACTTTAAAAATTAAATAGACAATTAATAAATGGTTAAAATACAAATTCAAAAGATTATAGAGATGAATAGACATGGTTTTTTTTATATGTATTTTAATTTAAAATTTCAATGAAATTTATCAAAACTACTAGCAAATTTTTTTGTAGTATAAACATTTATAAAATATTCAATTTTTAGAGCTACGAATTTGCATACACGATAAGTAGCTTAAATATTGCTTTGATATTAAACTGCGAGCTTGGTTTGGCTTATGATAAACCGTCTTCACTCAGAATCTTTTACGTACACAACGATTTTATTCCATCATATTGAATTTAAATTGAACACATCCATTACAGTGATCAACTTCACCATAATTTTTATTTTTTTTTATGTTTCCCCTATAAATATATTATTTTAAAATATATTTTTACAGATATATTTCAAATGTTTTAAGATTATGAAAGGCGATTATAATAAAATTAAACATATGATGGATCAAATAACTCGGGAAGTACATACCCGGGTTGAAAAAATTCAAAAAAGGTAAACATTTCTTTGTGTATTTACTATTTTGGGATGTTTATAAAAAACAAAATGACTACGTGTAGCATTTATTGTTTTTATAGTTCAAATGACAAGCGCAAACCAACAAACAACATAAAATTGAATAATGACGGAAAGTGTGGCAAGAAATTGGCCAAGATTCATGGCCATAAATGTAATAAAAAATACAAAAAACTTCTAAGAAGCTATGATCCGATACTAAACGACAAAGAACTTGTAAAGGCATTATCTGATCCAGATGATAAAATCAGAAGAAATTATAAAATACCATTTGATTTAGGTATACTATGCATATTTTAATGTTCAATTCTGTGCTAATAGGTATTTTAACCATGATTGTTGTTTTTTTTTCATCACATTTTGTAGCAATAAACATTTTCAATTTTCCGCACTTTGATGATGATAAATTGATTATTTAGTTGATTTTTTAGGAGGTTGGGGGAGTAACAAGTAGAGAATTCCCATCAATTTTTGTAATAATTAGGATAGAATTGGAAATATTTATGTAATACTAGCTATAAACCAGATCAATTTTATATTTTGTTATAATTCAGAAATAATAATCTTAGATATTAGAATTTTCAAAATATTTCGGTACTTTTTGACATGTTATTTGTATATAATTTAAAAATGTAAATTTTTAGATTTTGAGAGGAGCTTAAACCAATAATATTTTGTTCAATTTATTATACAATAACTTTTAGATTCTGAGTGGAACGATGAATGTATTGATTTTACAATGATGTGTTTTTTTTTTTATTAATTTTTTTCTTTTTTTCTTTTTTGTGTCTGTGTACACGATAGTCGATAAGTAGTCGAAATAATGCTTCGATTTTCAACTTCAGTATCTTGTTCGATTGGAAAGTGAATCTAGTTGGTGTAATTGATGATTTTCTGTAATTTTAAAATTCCCAATAGTTTTCACAAACGCCGGGATTAAACACATACAAATTAAGGAATAACGGGAATTTTTACGCAAAATCTGTTTTCCAAAAAATCGATTTTGGTTTTTGGTGTAACTCTAAAACAAATGAACGTATATGCATTAAATTTGTTCTGGTTGTTTATATTTGCATTTTCTATACACAATAAAATTTTCAAAATATTTTGATTTGTTTTTAACTGTTTAAGAACATTTTCAATTTCCAATTTTATTAGTCTTTTTCTATGAATGTCAATAAACTTAATTTGTTAGGAAAAGAGCTTGAAAATTTAATACGAGGCTCCTACTATATTGTTACAATGACATTTGAAAAATATTAAAAATACTTACCTGGTTACACTTTTTTTTATAAGCATTTAAAGTTCAAATCTTGACAAAATACGGAAAAATCCCTAAAATTAACTAATTATTTTGAGTTGAGAATTTATCAAAAATTTTCTTTTTAAATCTAAGTTTTGAAAATTTAATACAAAATGATCCATATCATTGTCTATCTTTATCAAAAAAAAATGTCTACAAGCAAATCTAATTAAATTTTTATGAGCGTTTGAAGTTCATATTTTTATAACATTGGATATTTACCCGATTTCTCAAGTAGCGATTTTCTTATTTTATTGTACTTAAAAAACGAATAACCGTAAACTCTTGAAGTTTGCATGCCTATTGGTTTTTTTTACTTAATTAAAAACTCTAGTATCAAATTGTTAAATATAGTTGAAATAATGAAATATTCATATGTTTTAGGTGCTAAAATTTCAGATAAAGCTAATAACCGTAGTGTTAATGATAAATCTGAAGCTTCTTCTGCTTCTACTTCTTCTCTTCCAAATGTGATAAAAGCTCCAATTGAACGAAATGTCAATAGTTCTGAAGGGATATCGCTGAAAATGCCTAATCTTACAAAAAGCGGCAAAGATAATAATAAATCAATTATTGAAATATTACCTGATGATAATAACCATAACAAACAACCAGCCATTTCTGCTGATTCTATTGAAATCAGTAGAAATGAATCAAATGAAGCATCATCTTCCAAAGTTGAATTTGTGTCCATGTGTCTATCTCCAAAAGTCACTATTTACCAGTATCGGTGTGAAAATAGTACAGATTTTTTAAGACTGAAAAAAACTGTTTTCAAGCATGATCCTTCCAGTTCTGACACTTTTAAGAAGTTGGTTAAAATACTAAAAAAATCATTCAATTTTGAGTTACCAAGAGTCTCTAAAATCATTTATAAGTGGCACAGTTCCAAAATGCAAGTTATTCAACAATTGCTACAAGAAATCTTACAAACAATAAATCAGACTAAAAACAAAATCATACATTTCATGACATTTTTGAACCTTTTATTTCATAAATCTGTTAATACTTATTATTTGTCTATAGATGAACTGTATTATAGTTTCTTTAGTTTTGTAGATTTTATTAAAAGATGTCTGTTGTCTCGTGTTAATCCAATATTAATGGAATGGCTCCCTATGGCGTGGACTAATTGTTTTAATTACGGTCTTATTTTGGTTGAATATATTTTATATAATGATTTAAAAAGAATGATTGAATATAAGAGTATTCATACTCTTTTGGAATGGTCATATGTCCCAGATATTCAGAAGTTGTTTAAAATATTATCATATGACAACAAGAGTCGTTCAGCAAGCATAATATATATGTCTGAAAATATCAACAATTATATGAAAGAACGAAACATATCAAAACTAGAACACCAAGATATACAAGACGAACCGCCTAAAAAAAAAATTAAATTAACTTCAGCTCAACAGATGTTTCCACAAGCACAACAATCAGCTGAACTTCCAGTTACAATTAAAAACACTACCAGAGAAGCTCAAGTTATATTAAGTTCAATTGCTTCAGTAAATATTGAACATGCATATCATTAAAATATAGGTAAAATACATATTATATATTATTATTATTATAATTAATTCATGAATATTCCTTACAAGCTTCAAACGAATTAAAATAATTATGAATACATTTGTATTAAGGTGGGTTTCCATTACATACGTTTATGTGTACGTGCATAAAAATACTTTTCTGTGATTGGTTGGTATACAAGATACGCTTTTGGTATACCAGAGTATTTCTACGTTCTTACCAGACATTAACCACGATACCGTGTTGTTGGATGTAATCACGATTTAAGATAGTATGGTTTGTCCAACGACCCATTTGAAAAATGTTGTCACATGGCATAAGATTTGAATCCAAAAGTCTAAGACATTAAGTTTTGACAAATGTCTAATTTGACACAAAAAGTGTCCATATATCGAGGGCCGCCATTTTGATTCCGTTAGTGTTGCTAGGTATCGATAATTTGTCATTGATAGAATTATTTTATTAGCTTATCTTCTACGAAATATCAGTGATATACCGGTGGATCGCATATTTCGCAGATAATTTTTATTGTATATTCTATGAGAAGAATCAAAATGGCAGCCTACTAGGGTGGGACATTTTTTTTCCCAATGCGCGTTCCATAGTATACAGTTCAGTGCTTATTATGATAATACATCACTGTAACATTGTTCTGTGCTGTAACCACGGTTGTGGATACACTAGTTGCACAACTGACAATTCCAATATTAAATAATTGCTTAAAAATACATGGACCATTCAATATGTCATACGATAAGGACACCCGTAGAACTCTAGCGGCAAACCAAAAACCTGCAGTACAGACCATGGTTACTTAAGTTAATGTTTCAAAAAATATACACAAGGAGCGCTCACTAGTTCTTCATTCTTATAATAATTTATGATAATGCTATTATAAGAGTGTTATCAAATTGTATAGCGCTATATTATGCTGATGAACGTTTCTGTGTAAAATTGTTTTGTTCTTCACTGTTTGTTTCGCAACTATATTATTATCTATAGCCGTGGTACCTAGTGCAACTAGATTCTTATAGTATAGATTTATACTTATATTTATGTGCACACACGTAGTTGCAGTATAAATTATTACACCCGTTGAAATACCTTTTATTTTAAGAAACATACATTTTTTAGCCAACTATATATCTTTATTCTTTAATTGGTTCAAAAAATTACACTGAAACTTAAACATTCGTACATTTATACAAAAATAATGAAATTTTCATGAAAAAAACTTAACTTATCACGCTATTTTCGTTCTCCAGTATTCATGGTTTTGAACTGTTTGATTTATTTCTCTGTGTTAATTTTTATTGAAATATTTTCTCGTGAAATTTACAATAATGGGTGTAACCTGTGATTCCAGTCTTTCTTAGTGCATTGTACATTGTATTTCTAAGTTATGTATTTACAATATTTATTTAAGAAAGTAAGAAAAGACTCTCATAGCACCTATAACTATTGAAAGGTACCTAACCCTACCTGTAGATGCAAAATCTATTAATTCCTTTTGATTTTATTTTAAAAGAATCTATCAAATTACATACTTATTTTCCTAATTTACCACTTGAAACACTCTGTATACTTTTAATAATGCTAATATCACCAATACAGGTTCTTCATAAGATTTTGAATAAAAGTTATAATATTTCATAGAGGTTGGTTTGGTGAAATTCTTAATTTTATATCATTCTAACTGCATTTATCATATCAAAACTTTCCTGATTGAACCTTCAATTTGTACCTTCTTCTTTTTTCCAGCTTTTACAGCTAATATTAATTGTACCTAACCTTTCTTTTTAATAATGTGTTTTCTATTCAAAATGAATGTGCTATTTGTTTTTGAATGTTGAAATAAATTAATGTTGAAAGTTAAAACAACAAAATTTAACCAATTTATTAATATACCTTATATGTCTAAGATTTTATAATACACTGTTACTCTTAAATCTTCAGGTTTAAACTAAAAAATGTGTTGGTTTGTTAATGAAAATTGAAAAGTGTTCTTAAATGTAGAAACTTTTCTATTACTATTCAGCACACAACTTGACATATTTTACATTAATAATATAATATACACTATTTTTAAGATAAAATGTACCAATAATTGTTATACAACCTTTCATTTGTATGTGGTCCCAAAAAAGACAGTTACAACCTAGCTTCTGGGAACATAAATTAGTAACACTGAAATATAATGAATTTGAAGAAAATAATAAGAATGTTGATTTATACTCAAGGTGAACAGTATTGGTATTTAGCAGATAGATACTTAACCTAATCTACTTGTTTGATGCAGAGGAATAGGTACAATGTACAAACTACAAAAGTACAATAATATAAATGCATTATGTAATAAACATTTTAAAAGTAAAGTAATAACTACAATATCATTTATTTATTATACGCTTTTATTTATTAAGTGTTTGAAATATTCATACTCCAATAAAATTAGAACCTAATTATATTTATATTCTATTATAATATAATATGTAAAAATATTGAATATTTCACTCGACATACAGGTATATTACAGAAGTAGGTTATTGCAGCAGTTCCTAAACTGTGTGGCACGCCTCACTTGGAGTCGCAGGTTAAATATTGATATTTTTAGAAACAGTCGATACGTTTATCTGATGAAAACCCGACGTTATCGCATCGTCGGAATATTCTCAAACCATAATAATTAATGAGTAATGACCAATATAATATCATATTATTATATATTTATGTATATTTTGTCAAAATGTTTTCATTATTATGTGTTAACAGTAGTTTTTTTTAAATAATAATAAAAGTTTAAACTAAAACTAAGTAGGTACTATTGATTATTGTCATAAAAATAATACAAAATCGTTATTCATGGGAAGCGAGATTATTTATTCTTATTTTTAGAGATGATTGAACTAAATAAGTTTGGAAACCGTGGGTTATAGTACAAGGTATTATGGTAGGTAGGTTATAGTCATTAAAGAGAAAGTACAGGTACTAAAGAAGGTCTTCTTTAAATTCTTTTTATAGTATTTCGTAATTTTGTTTTTTGAATGACAATTTATTATTATAGTAAGCACATGTTAATAACTTAGATAATTAATTAATACATTATAATAACAATTATTTATGAAGGTACCTACCTTATAGTATTCAAAAGTGAAAACTATAACGAAGTAAATAATTTTGTGGATTTGTGTAATTACTCTTTCAAAAAAACACGTCTTATTACTAGTAGACTTTTTAATATACATATCATATTGTACACATATTATGACGTGTGCCCCAACATATTATAATATTATAATATAAGATGCAATAACTATTGTATTTTATATGTTAAATGTTAACACGTAAATAATTACGAAATGATTCATAATTAAATAAAACTCGTTGTAATTAAGTGACATTTATATTTTAATTGTTATTTATTCATTTTTGTATTATATGTTATAATAATATAGCACTTTAGAACAATTATTCTTCCAGTTTATACATATAAGTTATAACGATTTCTGATTTTAATATTTTAATCTATTCCGATATTTAAAATAAATGTTTACCTTATTGTTTCAGTTATTTATTTGTATTTGAAGAATGCCAACCTTTATATGCTGCGTTCGAAATTGGATTTTATAATTAGTTTAATTTATTTCTGTTGAACCTAATTATAAGTATTAATTTTAAGATAAGATATTACCTAATTACAAATGTATGCAATTAAAAAACATATTATTTTAACAATTATTTTGAAATGTTAATTATTATCACTTTGTTTGCATTTGTCATAAATTATTAATATATATCTTCAATTACAAAATTTAATGCACAATATACATTTTTTTCGCTTTATTAATAAATGTAAATAATAATTCTTATAAAATATATTTTATATATATAATTTTTATAATTATTTTATACTATAAAAATATACTAATGTAGAACTTCATACATTATAAGCATGTTAAGTTTTTTCTACAATTTATTAATGTCCTTATTTTAAGTAACTATTTTCTTATATGACGTACCTAGGAAATATATAAACATACTCTTTCTGTGAACTATTTGCAAATAATTTAACTTAAAATCGATTGATTGATCGATTGATTTATTATTTTGTTCTAGAGTGAACAGAATATTTTATGACTAATATTATACATTTATACACAGATCAATGAGTCTGATTATTTTATAATAATAGTGGTTGTCGGTTAATTTACCTAGATATAATTTGGTATTTTAAGTTTTTTTGAACAATTTAATAGAAAATGGACTATATGGAAAAATAACAAGAGTACCTACGGGTAATAATAATATTAGTAAAAGTTGTCCTACCGCGGACTAAGACACTAAGGTATGTGCTACCCACGTTTCCAAAGATGAATAGCAGGTTTTTAAAATCATGTTTTTGATTCTGAGATCTGGATACACGTGTGGATATTTAAAAAATATATAGTGAACAAATAAACGTGACTCCACAAAATACGAGGTTCAAAGGTTGAAAAATAAAGAAAAAAACTATACAATAGATTACGGTCATGGTTCTTAGAACCAGAAACAGACGGAAATGAGAACAAAATGTAAGCAGTAACAATTTTATCGAACGCAAGAATATAGTTCGTTTGAAATGTATAATACTGAAAAGATATTAACATTTTTATAAAAGATTCAAGGACGATGGTAACACACGTGAAACATTTATACCATACTGCGATTTACGATAACGAATATTGCGTTTAACGTTCGATTCAAATTAAAACGAAAATGTAAAACTACGTAGCTCATAATATATTAATATATAATATAATGTAATATTACAAAAAATTATATTATTATTATTATAAAAGTGTATTAAGTATTAAAACTTGATTGGATGATAGATTTTGTACGACACTGTCGACGGGAACAATTATTACCATATTATAATATAATCCAGACATTAGTATAGTCCAGTGGTGGCCAAACGGTCGATCTCGGACGATTTCTAAGTCGTTCCCTTTGTTAAAATAATGTATTAATTATTGTTATTCCTTTATCATTTAGTTGATAAAGTTATTAAATACATATTTCGGATTACCCTTTTACAACTGTGAAATGTAATTTCATCAAATTGAGGTTATAAAAGCTGAATAGGTACCTACTACCTATCGAACTTTACTTTTTAGTTTCTGATAATCATTTAGAGCAGTCTTCGATTAGCAGTTAGCGACTATTACCGAGATTATAATAATTATCTGGCCATGATATTTTAGAAACGACATAATTATGAACAGTATAATGTTAATACATTTTTAAGTTATTTAGAAATTTAATGTGAAACACTCATTTTAGATAACTTACACTTAAATTTTATTATTTATATAAGTATGTTTGCTATTAATATAAAATATTTTTTCTACATAAGTCGATCCTAACCGAAAAAATATATTCTCAATAGACAAAAAACAGTTTGGCCACCCCTGTATTATACTATTTGATGACGGCGACAAATATACGTAGGACGTAGGTACGTAACATAATATATTGTACACGGCGGGCTTGAACGCGTGGTTGCCGTATGGAAGGAAAAAACTTATCGAGCGCGATTACGCGTCTCGTTGGTCCAACAGATCGATATTCGATTGTGACCGAGAAAAATGTGAAACGATAACAACAACAACAACAACAATACATACATTATTCTATTCTAGGTAGGTACAGCGCTGAACAACTCACAATATGGGTATTCCTGGATACTATATAGATTTTCGTTAATCGCTGTTGTTATTATTCACCTCAGTCCTCAACGAGCAGCTGCTGCCAGCGCCGTGTCGGCGGCAACCTGTGAGGTACCATGGTCAAAAATATTGATGCGTACTGCGTCATTCGTAACGGTGCGAGTGAGAGCGCCCGTGTTGGCCGCCAGCGCGTGTGTATGTTTAGGTGGGGATACGGCGGCGGCGCCGGTTTCCGTCTGGTCGACATCCCTTCAGCTGATCACCACCCCGGTCCTGCTGTTGTGTTCGTCTTCCCGCCGATTTAGTATTTACGTGAGATCTCGGAGCGTGTCGTTGTGCCGAACCGTCGGTGAAGCGATACGCACCGTCTTAGTCCAAACCGTTCGCGCGTTATATTTACGACGTCGACAACGATTTTTTCAAATCCTTTTTAGTTTTGCCTCCCGACGACACACAATTACGCTCCTGCGCCGCCTAGACTATATCGTTACAATTTGAATTATATCATACGTGCGATTTTTTTTTTAAATTTTTTTTTTTTGTTCGACGGTTATTCCTATTTAATTCACAATGACTCAACCCAAATATAAGATGAAGAATTTTGACAACTCGCTCCGCATGTACAACCGAAAGGTGTTATTAAGGTAACGTAAAATTTGTATAACGATAATTTATGAGAAATATTCAAATGTACCTACCTATCATTTTGTTTGATTGTCGGTTCTTATCTACGGAAAACGGCGATATCGTTTCGTTTTTGCTATAGGTATATTGAGTATGTGTAATAGTTACACATAGTTATATTAAATTATTTATAATACATTTAAATATAATTTATATGTCTATGGTATTGCCGCCGCCGCGTTTAAATAGTGAGTGATTAGTGAATGGAAACGTTTGTACGTTAACATTACATCATGTACTATAGATATAGGTTTATTATGGACGGTCCTTTTGTTAATCATATTATATAGGAAGGTAGTGATTATGAAGTACATAACATAACATATATTATATATATCTGTGTTTATAACACATAATATTATAATATTATCTACAGCTGTCGGCAATATACGTCTTGATAGTGGATATCATCCACCCGCGATCACGACGGTAGACTCTTTGTTTCTTATCAGTGTTTCAAAACATATGACGTTCGAGTCGACAATACTTGGCAGGCTTATTTTAGGTTGGACCGATTAACTGTGGTTGATGAATGTCAATGTACATACATCGAAATCGGTGTTTGAAATAAACGGAAATAAATAATATTTGTCAATAATTTGGTTATTATTTATTACTTATTAGTCTAGGACAGAGGACTTGTAGCTCTAAAAAAGAACTAAATATGCAATCACTTATGGAATTAAAAACACTATTACATGCAATACAATTTGTTTCTAGCGATTTAATTTAAAAATATCTAAAATGTATACGTAATTAATATACAATTGCATATACATGTTTACTATTATCTAAATTTATATTATAACTGTCATATTTGTACACATATTGTAAATAGTTTTGCTCAGTATATTAATAATAAATAAATAAATAAAATAACAAAAACAATTACTTACATAATTATATGCCATATGAATAAAATAACTTTTAGTCCGAATGAACCATTTCCTTACTGAATAACTACAAAAATAGAATAAATCGTAATCAGAACGCGTAGGTAGTTGCTGTTTAGAAACACCGAACGTGAAGTGTGAATGATATTGTATTGGATGTTCGGATGCCGCGTCGTATTGTTCATGTTTATTATTTTGTGCCGTGACAATTATCTATCTTGATTCTTGAAATAAAATTAATAAACAGAAAACTAATAATAAATAATAGTCCAACCACAAGCGCTTCCAAGAAACCCTAGACGTTCTCGAACCGTAAACAACCATATTATTATGATACAAATGAAAAAGTGGGTAAGTGGATGTCGCTCTGCTGTATAGTAAGTTACAAGTGGGTCACTAACTCACTGTATAATTGATTGATATTATTGATTGTATTAAATATTTAAATTTGAATTCAATGATATAATGTTATCATTGTGACATTGTGTACGAAAAACGATTCTGAGCGCAGACGGTTTGTCAGTCAGGATATTTTATATTGTTATTATATTTTATTATAGCCTGTAAGTTGAATTAATATTATACATTACAACAAAATAACTAAAATCGTTATTTTTATTTTTATTCGTTTTTATGGTGATAAACAAAGCATTAGAACTGAAAATCCTATTTTTATCGTTTTTTTTGTAATTAATCGGTGGTTTTCCCGTGACATTAAATAACAATTGATAAAATCGAAAAATGACCTCCCTTAACGAACCATCCCATCTTGTTCCAATTTTCTAAAAGATAAGGTACCTACTATATGTTTAAATCCAAGCACTCCTTCTAGTAGAAATCTTGTATACAGAATAAAAAAATAAAAAAATTAACACCATTGTAAAACCACTAGATCCCTCGCTTCGCTCAGAATCTAAAATTAATTTAACTTCAACAAAAGTATTTTGATTGCATTTATTAGTATTTAGAAATTATTTATTTTTTTATGATTTGGTTGTACTATTACCTAATTATTACCTAATTTATTAAAATATATATAAAAAAGAATAACATTCAAGAAATATGCTCTAGTGGCTATTAGAATAAAAACCTCAAAATATGCATTTATATGCATGATCAAATTGTACGAAATTCGCTTTGTCTTATCATACAACGTATTCTTACTCTGCTTTTTTGGGATTAAGTAAAACAAATATGCAAATGCTACAAGTCCTCTGCCTTGGGCCCTTAGAATTTTTATTACCTATGTATCTATCAATTATTGTACCTACGCGCATACATCGTTATTGTATTATCTTATTCTTACATAATATTATACGTAGGACGTAGGTAGGTATCTCCGGATTATCTATAAACGAAATTTAAATTAATTTTTACTTGAAATAAACCGGGGAATCAGCTTTTCTCCGCACACCGTGCTTTTCTCCGATATATAACCTATCGTTTAAATATAATATTATAATTTAATTTAAAAATAATTATCTATTTCGATTTGTGGTGATTTCGGTGGGCGGCACACGGTAGTATGCGTTTCGTACGACGTACGTTTATATAAAACAAATCGCTAGTTTTGTTAATAATATGGACTTGACTTGCTGTGATTGAGCACTTACAAAAGTCAATAAAAGAAAACACTAATTACCGATATATTTTTATAGAAAATAATTATAAAATATCGTGTTGACAACAGTGGTTGATGACACCATTACTCATTAATTAGGTATCAGTTGTTCACGTCTCGCGTTTGTATAGCATTATGTTATAAAGTTTACGTAAGATATAATCCATTTTTTTTTTATTATTTTTAGTAATTAATATTCTATCAATTAATTATTAACAAATTAACTATTGTCAAATATAAAAATTACTTTTTATCTTTCCGTTAAATTACTTAACTAAAAATCCTATCTAATTAAAAAACGCTTGCCAAGTCAGAGATTGGCATGTAAACTTTAATGATTTTTAATTTTTAGAAATTTATTAACTGTATGTAATAATATGTATGTATTTTATTACAATATTATTAAACCAAAATTGTTCTTATAGGAAATTATTAATTGCAAATTAATTTATTGAGAAGATATTCGATTATAGACTATAGTAAAATATTATAGTAGATTGAATATAACTTATAAAGTTATTTTGCTTGTTTTATTTATTAAACTTGATAACGAATAGTGTACCTAACATAGACTTATAATATAATATATAGATATGTCCATGGCACCTATTAACTAATATGAATATTTTAAAAACTGTTGGCGATAGACATTTGCAGAAGCGCTCTAGTTGCTCTGAAGGAAAAGGCTAACCATAGATTACTCAATGGGACTCACGTACCATGGTTTTCACGTACCTACATTTTTGTGATAAGAAAATACCATGTTAATAAAATAAAAACAATAATATTTTGAAAATTCCTCATCACTGGCATTCACAGTTGAAAAATGTTGAAACACTTGTACGTTATAGTGTTAACACCAAGTTTTTAAAATGAACAAAGCTATTACATAGACATCATGATTTAAGATATTATAATATAAATTATGGCAGATGTCATGTTTAAACGGTCGGATTTAAAAAAACCAAAAACTTGAATCACTTCAGGTTTCTTACTGAACCATTGAGGTGAGTTTATTATATAAATTTCAGAAGTAAATAGGTAGTCATGCGTTAAATAATAATTTTTGTGGTATTAATTTAAAGGTGCAAACAACAGATGGATAATTGTCAGATAGAACATTTTGTTGAATAAAAATCCTGCTGTTGAACAAAAATGTTATCAGGTACCTATGTGGTATGTAAAGATAATTTGTGTTTGAATCCAAATGTAAGGAAGGGTATTACAATGAATACTGTGCCAGCATTATTTAGTAATGAAATTTTATAACGATTATTAATGGGGCTACTATAGTATACGGTCAACCAAGAGTAGACCATTTATTGCAGATTTACAGTATCTAAGTACTTATCATTCAGATAATTGTCCAAAAATACTATTAATTTATAGACCTAATATTCCGTTAATTTCAAAATATAGTTTAGATTTATTTCATTGGTATTGAACGGCTTTCGTGCAATATGCAGTCATCTACCGCACAACAAATAACTACCATAATTTTTACTTGTGACCTACCATATTACATTATATTTTACAACATAAATACAATAGTTTTTACATTAACACAAAACAAATTATTATTAAATTTAAAGTTTTTAAATAGCACATTTCTAATTTTTTTAAATCCAACCCTTTACAATCTTATATAGATTAATAAAAAATATAATCAAATTTGTGTGATCACATCAGCTATACCAGGCTTTAGTTAAATACTTAAATGACTATGTAACATTTGTTGGTTCATCCCATGTTTTTTTTATTTAATTTCTTTATAAAATTTATAAATATTTTAAATGTTTTTGCTGAAAAAGGTTAAATTAGTATCAGTTAGACTACATATCTTATTAGAAAAGTGACGGTGGACCGCACACCATAGTAGTACCCAATTAAAACTACCTAGTTATACAATAAGTAAAAACTAGTTCAACCAAAATATTTAACTGTAATAATTTACCTTTACCGAACTTAGCAAAAATTAGCACAAAACAATTTCAGAGTACAGAATTTAGTAAAAATGTTCACTTAATGTAGTGTTAAATGGATAAACAAAATAAAATAAAAAATATTTTTATTTTATTTATAGTTAAAGCTACATCATCTATCAACCAATAACTATTTAAAAAATGTGTCTTATGATGTTTTTCAAGTATAAAGCTTTATCATGAATTAAAAATTGATGATAAAGTTCTGAAAATCTTCACTGCTCTCCTCCTCCTCCAATATGAATTTAACAAGACCCCAAACAACAAAATCCATTTTCCAGTTTCAGAGATCTATCTCGCTAAATGAAAGTCTAGCAAAAAATAACTGTTTTCTTAACTGTGAAAAATTTTTAATTTCACATTTTGTATCTACTTGATAATCCCTTTTTAATGAGGTATCAACTAACTTCCTAGCTATCATAGTTTAGGAGAAAAGTTAAAAAATAAAAATTTTGCTACTGTTT